CTGAGCTTCCCCATCTCCTCTTCCAACAGATGCAGTCGATCTGACTTCTGTGTATTCCATCCGGAGAAGTCCATGTGTGTCGTCACCGTTTGTTATTGAAAAAAGGTGTTTGCTGTGCACAAGTCATGGGTCTTGCAAAATTCTATCATGCGATCTCCAGCTATGGTTCTCTCACCAAATCCATAGTTTCCATGGCTTCCTCTTTGCTTCCAGCTTTTGCATTCCAATTGCCAATACAGTGAACCCTCGCCACTTCATGCTTCGACTTCCGCTGCTTCACTCTATCGCGGTTTTTGCGTAACAGCACCCACTGCCTACACCCGCTCCTTCAGAGGAAAAAGACGGCGACCCACCTGTAGAGTACATCCCTTAAGTCATTTCATAGGCTATTGATTACAGTATTTGTAAGAACTATGTATAATAACACTGTATGTGAAATATGTAATACTGTAAACTAGATGCCATAAATAATATAATAAATAATAAATGATAATTGTAACGTCCAAAATGTTTTACTGTATTTTCCCTTTTTCATTTAATAAATTGGGTAACACGAGTGTAATGGTGACTAAAGGGTGTTTTTTCATGTCCTCTATGCTCTAACTACGAAAATATTTGATTTACAAATAAGGAATCCTACTTCGTGGAATTTCATTTATCACGGTAGGGTCTAGAACCGATTAACACGAGGGTTCACTGTAATGCTAAATGCATTTGGATTGTATGTTCAATCAACGTCAGACTGAAGACATGGGTAGGTTTCTTCTGCACCCTCCCAGCCGCTCGCTGGGAGAAAGCCACGCTCCTCCGTATTAATGGCTGCTGAGGAGACCGCGGGGAAGATCTACTCCGTCACCTGGGCCACTGGGAGTCAGTCTGTGTTGACTGCGGCCAATGACAGAAACAACAGCAGTAAATGGAGTTTTAAAAAAATGTGGGCAACATCTTCATGAGGAAAATCATACAGCCTAATGAAAAAAAACCCCAAAACCATTAAAGGGCCTAAAGGGCCATGGACTAGAAAATCCAGTGTCATAACTTTACAATTCTTCCCAAACCAGGCTATTATCTTCCCTCCAAATGGCCGTGGGTAACCGCCATCCAAATCCTAACAAATTTTATTTCGGTGGAGCTTGACAAACTGGTATGAAAATGGATCTCAAAGTTCAAGGGCCCGAGAGTCGCCGTGGCAGTGTGAAAGAGTAAGAGACAGGGCAGGGCCTACTGCACACAGGACAGAGCAGGGCGTGGACACACGTGTTCGCCGAGGTACTCCCTGGGGGTCTCATTCTAAATGTGTTCTTTGGTAGTTGATTTCCAACAACAACCTTAAGGGTTCCAAAGTGTCGGCAGACTTGAAAAGCGGCAGTCTTGGTAACAATGACGGTGACTACTTGCCCGTTACTGAGCGACTGCCGGGTACAGAAACTGCAATTGAACGACCGAATTGCTCCTCACGCCCACCTCCTGAGACAGGCGTCTCATAATTCCTGTTTTACCTGTGAGGACACGAGGCTCAGCGAGACTGGATGACTCCCCGAGCCCACCCAACTCAGAAACGGAGGGTTCGGAGCCTTGAACTAGGTTCGTACGCGCGTGCCTCGACCACTGTCAAAGGTATTTCCAGACACTGTTCCGCTGCTCGCCAGCTCCAGATGCAACGCAACACGGGCAGAGTTTTCACAAATAGCACGCCCACCCACGGAACGTGGCCTAGGAACAGAGTGTGCCGGGGGTTTGCACGCACGTCTCTCCTGCCACGCCGAACTAACGCCACCAGGCCCTAGACAATGGCTCTTGGTCTTGTTCTTCGGAGCGGCAAGCTGAGCTTTTTGAGTTCCTGGTTCTCACAAGCCCAACCGTTCACGTGCACACCAGTGTCAATTCCCGTGGAGTCTTCCGTTTGGCTGGGCCTGACAAAATGCTAAGTGGGGCCACCCAGCCAGGCGGGGAGAATTACAGAACCGTTTGGTCCCTGGGATGCTTACCCAAGGTGCTAAAAGGCAACTGTTCATATTGTTTCATGGGGGCATCGAGGGAAGACCGCTGCCCCTCCAAGGGCACTCAGCTGTCTCATCTGGTCAGTGTGCAGCAGTGGAACCGGACTAGCCAGGATGGGCTGGGTGGGGGAGTGCTTGGGGGTGGGGGTGGGGGTTCACCTTCACGTAGCAAGTTCTACCAACTCAGCCTCTGGCATTTATGGCACTGGGCAACAAGAAATACGTGCTATCCCCAGGTTGGCTTTTGGGGGGGGTGGGGCGGGCTACAGCTCTGCCAGGGTCACGCTTGTGACAAATGGATCATACCCCAAAGCATCGAGGACAAGTCGGAGGAAATGTAGGCTGACATGTGTCACCCAGGCTGAGCAGGAGCCATGCATGGGATTCGATGACTCCCTCTGGCCGGGACATTTAATCACATAATCTTGAGGCGGCTCCTTCCAAGAGGAAGAAATTCCAGTATCTACAGAGTGAACAAGTCATGGGCCGCTCGCTCTCAGCCCGGCGGCCATCTGCCTTGCTTCCTGAGTTGACGGGGGACATCGGAGTAACAGGATTGCATCCCTCAGCAGTCTCTACCGCACTGCCTCACGGTTACCACTTGAGAAGGCCCTTCAGCTGCTGCCACTTGGGGCATCACCATGCTAGCCATCACTGCTGCCAGCTCAGGGGCCCTGGTGGAGCTGTCTGGGGTAAGGGCTGGTTTGCTAATTGCAAGGTCAGCGGTTCAAACCCACCCCACCAGCAGCGAGGGGAAGGTTTACAGCCTCAGAAACTCTCTTCGAGACTCCGGCGCAGGGGGTTTGCTTTACGGGCTGGGTTGATAGCTTACTGCGTGGTGCGGCTCTGGGTTTAAAACACCTCTTCCCAACTACACCCTGGGCTATGGAAACAGCTGGAGACTACAGTCACGTGTGTGATACCGTCCTGATGGGTGAAGGACCATATCTATATTTCAGAGTGCTTTAATCATGTCAGGCTCCACAGCCTTGGCTCAAATCCAGAAAGAGACTCAGTGTGTGCCAGGGCCAGTCTAAGAGCTGCCATAAGCCAGCCGCGGCCACCGCGTAGCCCTTCCGCTCACCCACCAAACCACCCCCAGGCAAAGGGTCCCCGGAGCAAGACACGGCTTCTCTTGACAGGGGAGAAGAGAGCGCCCTTACACGTGAAGACAGAGAAGGGTTTGCCATGGAAGCGTGCGAACCAATTTTCGGAGGAGGCGAGCTGCTGACATGCGCTAGCTAACTAACTGAGCACACCGTGAGGTGATGAGGCTGAGGCGGGAGCCAGCGCTGACCCACTTAAAGAGTCTGCGGGAAAGAAGGGGAGAGGCAGCCTGGGCCGAGTGGAGGTCCCAGTTCCTTCCTTCTTGGCTTTCCCTCCAGGCTGCCCCCACCCGCCTTTGACAGGAGCAGAAACGCAGCTGAGTGGAACCTTTCAGTATATGGGAGAGCGGTGGCGGTGGCTGTGTCTGGCCTCAGTGGCCCGTTACTGAGCTACTAGCATCGAGGACAAACGGCTGCATAGCCCCCAACACGTGTCCTTCTCGGTCACGTCCAAGCAACAGGCACTGGATGAGAATGAAGAGACTGCTTGGGAGTAGCCGCTCACCCTGCCAGCTCTTCCATCACGCGAGACATGGCGCATGTATGTAGGGTGGTTACGCATTGGGCTGTGATCTGCGAGGTCGGCCGTTTGAAACCGCCAGCCCCTCTATGGGAGAGATGGGGCTTTCTACTCCCAACAAGAGTTCCTGTTTTGGAAACCCACAGGAGCAGTGCTCCCCTGTCCTCCAGGGTCTTAAGCTGGCATTGGCTGGGTAGCAGTGAGAGAGAGAGAGAGACTTTCTGGAGAATACAACGGAGGCACAGTGGGTCAGGCATCTTCCCAAGGCTGCCCGACAGCACTGCACCCCCCAGTGTTGTGGAAGCCCGGGACTGCTTGGGCAAACCAGAGATGCTTCCCGAGACTCGGTCATTTGCGGTCCTTCGGCCGCACTTACGCCAACTCCACGTGTATCTGTCTGTCTTGGGAGGTTGCACTTCATATTTTCCCTCAAATTGACTTTAACACAGCTCATTTTTAAAACATCTTAGTCTTCCCCTGAACAACCATTTCCCCAAAATCACACTTTGAGATGCGGTTATATCTTTTCCCTAATGGACATGAAAATAAATGGGTAGCCATTAAAAGTGTTTATCCACAATCCATCTAAAATCATCTCGAGGACCCAAAGGAAGCATGCTGGGAAAGTATTTTAACTATATTAAAACACAGCAAAGCAAAAACCAAACTCACTGCCATCCAGTCAATGCGGGCCCATCACGACCTTCTAAGAGGGGTAGAACTGCCCCTGTGGGCTTCGGAGACTTAACTCTTTACGGGAGTAAAAGCCTCCTCTTTCTCCGAGAGAGTGGCTGGTGGTTTCGAACTCCTGGCCTTGTGGTTAGCAGCCCAATGTGTAACCACTAAATAAGGATCCCCTAATATGTTGAGGAGTCCTGGCGGTGTGGGGGTAGTTACGTGTTGGGCTGAGAACCGCAAGGTCAGCAGTTCAAAACCACCAGCCGCTCTGGCAGGGAAAGACGAGGCTTTCTACTCCTATGAAGAGCTGAGTCTCAGAAATCCTCAGGGGCAGCCCTTCCCTGTCTTGGAGGGTCGCGATGGGTCAGAATCAACTGGACAGCAGTGAGTTGGGTTTTGAATCCTAAGGGAGGCGCCTGGCTGGTACAAAGGCGCCACGACCCAGCGACCAGCCGGAAGGGCTGCTGGAATGCACCACGGAAGAAAGGTCTGGTGACCTGTACATGTAACAACACAGAGAGGTCAGCCAAGGTCTACCGTGTGGTGTTCAGGGTCCACGCGCGCCGGAACTGACCACATGGCAATGGGTTCCCAGTCCACGTTCGAGTGGCTGGGCAGCCCACGTCTGTTTCTAAACATCAGCAGAAGGGGGGTGCCGCTGTGATTGGCGGGCAGGAGCCGGGGGCCAGCACTCACATGAAGTTCTCGGGGTATTCGCTGAGGGCCATGTCCACGATGCTCAGGGCGTCCTGGTGATGTTTCTGTGCAGACAGCAGGAGCGCCAGGAGGTGCAGGGCGTTGGCGTCGTCGCCCTGAAGTTGAAGAGCCTGGCGGACGTAGCCCAGGGCCTCCGGAATCTGTTTGGAAACAAAACCCAGGGGGCAGCTGAAAGGCTGTTAAAAGGGGTGGACACCCCCCACCCCCTTCCCTCCAGCCCCATCACCATCTCCCTGGTTGGATCCTCCTGCCAGGAGCAGTGTCATTCTGGGCCACATCCAGACTCTGAGCGGGACTCTCCAAGGGCGCAGGACATTAGCCACGCAGGTGAACACAGCCGCCCTCTGACCCCGTGGGGAGAATACAAGAGACCCTGGCTCCCTGCAGACCTGCCCGGGACCCCGTCTTTTCTTTCTGCACCCTCGCTTCTGCGCGAAACGGAGCTACTTTTGATTATGCCCAAGATGATTTGGCTCTGGACGGAGGCACACGCCATTTGCCAGAGGTTTTTCATGGAATGAAACTGCCTTAGCCAACATGTTCTCTCTCCCTCTCTCTTTTTAAGTATTACTGTGAAATTAAAGTGTCTAAGACGTTACAAAATCTTTAATAGAAAGTTTTCCATCTCGGCAGGCGTCTGTGGTTCTGTTTTCAGACCATTTATCCCGGTTTTCCGTCAGATGGGAAAGCAATACGCCACGTGGGGGCCCCCTACAAAACCCCCACACCTTTCCAAATGATAACCTCCAATAACTCCGCCCAGGAAACACATGGCAGCTGCACACGCAAAGCAGATAGACCCAAATCCAAGGAGAACCAGACCCGGCTCTAACCTTCAAAGGCAGCAGCTGCTCACACTTCCTTCAAAACCATCCAAGAACAAGGGTTGATAAAACGCACACACAGTGCATATCTGAACACCCTGGATTCCATATAAGTTTAGCAGTCGCTCGCGAGAATTAGAACCTGAAGCCGGATTTCGAAATCCCGCCCGGGACTGAAGTATTCTGACATGGCCGGCCCAGGGACTCCTGTCTCTTCTTGCACGGTGCAAGGCTGGAGCGTCGTCCAGCTCACCTGTTCCACGCAAACCCTCACTGCCTGGTGGCCACTCTGACCTCAGTCGACCCCGAGGCCCTCTGAAATCCAGGACTGATGGATTGAAATGTTGGCGGTGGAGATGTCCTGGTTTTGAACCAGAGTCTTGATCATCACTGCCGCTGGCAGGAAGGTCATGTAGCCCAGGGTTCACCCAACCGTGGCTCAAGAGCCATCTGCTGCTCTTTGGGTGCGTACATGGGGCTCTGAAGTAAAATTGAAAATGAAAATAAAACAATCGTTTTCAGACGGTGAGTTCATTTAAATTGTTGTGAGGGACAGGCGTGGCTCTTCCGTCTCCAAAGTTTGTCGATCGAACCCTGATTGAGCCCAATTCTTCCTTTATAAGGAGAGAGCTGGCATTTCCTGAACAAGATCCCGTAGCTGTTGTGTGACAGAGACAAGGGTGAAGCTACATCCTCCAATTCTCTCCTTTCCTCTGCCGGGGAGATGCCATGGGGCCCAGAGAATAAGAAGGGTCCCCACCGGCCAGCCCCCACCAGCCAGCAGGGAAACAGGCAGGGCGGGCTGGCATGTTGACACTACAGGGCTGACCCTGCACCCACAGGGCTCCGTTCCCTTGGCCCCTCCCCAGGGTGACAGTAAGGCAGGACCAGTATTCAGTTGGGCATTATGGGAAGGGCAGAGAAAGGTGGTATGAGCGTGGAAGTCATTGACAGAGAAATCAGGGTCGACCCATTACAGGCTGCAAAAGTTTATCCTTGAGGGATAGCCAAGTGGAAGGAATCCAAAGCCATTTCGTTTATTCAACAAGTATTACGGAGTGTCCACCGCATGTCAGGCCAGGGTAGAGGGCTGAGGATGCCAGGCGTGGAACCGGAAGCGCGGGGAAAGGCAGCCAGGGAGCAGAGAGCCAGAGAAGAGGAAGAGGCAGGAGTCCAAGCTGCTCTGGGAAGAGCGCTTCATGGCAGGCTGCACCCAGCGCTTGGTGAGGCTGAGAGTCGGCTGTGCGTTACCCAGGACCATGGCGGGAGAGGTACCTCGGCGTCCTCCATGCCTGGGTCACCATTCTCAACACCCTTCATGAGCAACCCCAAAGCCAGATGCAGGCCTACAGCCTGGGCCTGCCAGAAGAACGGTGTGTGTGGGGGTTGAACTTGGATCCCCCCCACAGGCAGCACTCAGAATGTGCTGGGTCCCCACCAGCATCCTGCAGCAGCAGCAGCGGGGCAGCAACGATGTGACCAGAGTCTCCACAACAACTGTAGGACGGGACTTCTGGACGCTGTCTCTTTGGGAAGACGGAGGCTGAGGGACCCTGCCGCCAGCATGCCACCAAGTCACTTTGAGTCAATGTGTCCCGCATCTAAGATTTTGGCCAAAGTGGGTTTTATTTTTTGGGGGGGTCTATGTCTGTAGGCATCTTCTTATCATTTCTTGATACCCTTTGCTAACTGGGTCCCAACCAGTGACTAGATTCCCCCCCAACACCCGTCAGCACTGTATCCCCTGTTCCCATTAGCAGGTGACAAAGGCCACTTGCAGTGACTGCTGAGTTCAGAATCTGTGTCAGGTGCTACACCCCACATTGCCATCTGACCACAGGAAGGGCCCTCCAGACTTGTGGTCATAGCTTCTCAAAGCAGAACCCGGGAAACTCCCGTGTCTCCGCCGAGGATGCCCCAACTGGCCAGAACAAGAGGATCTGCACTGAGGAGATGTGCCAACCCCCACCCCCCGCCCCCCGGCACGGAGACAGCCTCCCGTGAATGAATGAAGACCATCTACGACCTGCCTCCACCTGGGGAGCCCAAGGAGCTGCACCAGGGTGGAAGAGAACGTGCCAAGTGGAGTGGACTTCGGGAGGAGGCACTCACCTGTCTGGAGATGGCAAGCTGCAGAGCCAGGTAGAAAGCGGCCTGGTGATCTGTAGGCGATAGGTTGTGGGCCCTGGAAAAAAGCATTTGGGGGGCTCTGAGTTCACAGGAGAGGCCATTTTTGGTTTCCTTGTCAAACAAGGCTTCACATTTACATTGTTTGTACCAAGGCCACACAGTCTATTTCACCAGTTTTAAAAAGCAATGTCTTTCATTGGGATGGTTGTTGAAAAGACATATACCCCGCAGAACGTCTGCACAGTAGAACCTACAACGTGACAATTCCTCCCTGTTCAGTCCCATTCTTCGCCGGCAGAGGTTCTCACCCTCCCTTCGGGGGCCCTTCCTCCCTCGTCAGCGGGAGCTCACCACCCACAAGGCGCCTCTCTAACCTTTCCAGTTGCTGTTGTGCAGTTGGCCCCATAGAGGCAGATCTTAGGAGCACACAATGCTCAAGGCAGACATTCTTAACTGGTTAAGCTAAAGGATTGTTTGATTTCAAAATTATAGAGGATAATTGTTTGTTTGTTTAAGCTTTAAAGATGATCTCTGGGCAATAGCTTCAGGGGGTCATCTGGCCTCCCTGGCTCCAGAAAGTCAGGAGTCCGTGAGAGCTTCATCACTGTTTTGTTTTTGCTCTGTTCAATCATCAGTTTCTATAGAAACAGATGCTTTGTTCACGGTGCTCAGTAATGGTGGCTGGGCACCATCCAGCTTCTTCCGGTCTCAGGACAAAGGAGCTAGTTGATCGTGGAGGCCATTAGCCGCGCCATCCATTTCCTCCTAACTCTCCCTCTTCCTCTGTTGCCAGAGGCACATAGAGACCAAGTGATGTAGTTTTGCTCACTGACCAATGTAAAACGACCTTCCCTCTTGCCATAGCACACAGGTATAAGAGAGAACGCCCATTTTGTCTGAGGTTGAAAACAGTAGCAATGATCGTGTGATCATTGAAGACACCTGGGGAGTTATGGTGAAGAAGTCCCAGGTCCTGAGGCTTGGCTTCCTATCAGACTCTCCCTGCGGCTGGTGGGAGAGGCCCTGTGTCATGAAGGGCCACAAGGAGGCCAGGTGTGTCCCTGGCAAGGTGATGGCTGCTTTGGTTAGGTTTTAGTTTGGCCTTAATGCTATCGCATCCACATTTCTGGAGCTCAGAGGAACCAAAGGGAAATCAGAGGCCAGCTCTCTCTGTAAGATGAGGTGTGGGTTTTGAGGAACCGTAGGGGAAAGGCACTCACGCAGTGTTTTGAAGCGGCTAAGCTCTGGGGAGTCTCCCGATGCGGTTCCTGTAACTACAGCTTGTAAAGCTCTGTAGTGAGGCACCAGGTGGAGTTTTATTAACTGGCCTCTAGCGCTAGATGGGGAGAGGCGACTGACTCCAGCCTCCTCCTTGACTGCAAACAAGGACTTTTTTTTCCCTTTTCTTTCATGTGGAAGGCAATTCTATTTCGCCGCGAGCAAAGCAAGATGTGACTACGTACAAGACGTGATTCTGTGTTTACCATCCGGTGGGAAGAGAAAAGCAAACTTGGACTTTCTTTAAAAGGCACCACCACGGAGCATACTAATTACCAATGGTGGGGCTCAGAGAGTAAACAAACCATCCTGCCGTTCGTTCTGTCAGCATCCTGTGATTAAAGGAGGGTCCTCTGCGGGTAGAAAAAAAACCCCAGGAGGAAAAAGAAAACCAAGTCAGTACGGATTCAACGGTGGCAAACAGGCCTAGGAGGGCCCTCTCGGGGCAACCATGCGTTCTAATCCCAGGTGCAGGATGGGGGTACAGCGGAAGCTGCTCTCGGTCTTTCCTCTGTCTTCAGGGCGGAGCACCCAGTGTCCCAGTCCTGGGGAGCTGCGTGACGCCCCTGCGCAGACACAGCCTTGGGACTCCGACCACCTTTGTTCAAGAAGCGATTGATGTACATGTTTGCTTGTGTCCTTCTTGACAGCGCCTGATCAAGGCCAAAGAGCGACGTGATACATTGTGGCTGGTGCTATTTGACAAGTATTGGTTTTCCTGCGCATTTGTCACCGAAGAATGTTTTCCTTAGTGCTCATCGAACATAACTTTGGTGTGTGAGTCTGGGTAGACTCAAGAAAACAAATCCGCAGAAACTCATATATGTATAAGAGAGAGTTTTCTATAAAAGGTACGTGTACATTCAGAAAGCATCCCAACCCAGTCCAGTCCAAGCCCACAGGTTCACCACTAGCCCATATGTGGCCACAGATCCACAAAGTCCTCCTCGAGGACACAAAACACACGCAATGACACCAAATGCAGGAGGAAAGCCGAATCAGTGAGCATGTACAATCTCAGCGCTGGCAGGGGTCTCCATGTGGCTTCTCCAGCACCCAGGGCTGCATCGGGGTAGGTCCATGTGGCTTCTCCTCAGGGATGTCTCACAGGAAGTGAGCCTTGCCAGCGGAAGCAGGGAACTGGCTAAGGCAGCTGCACCCTGGTCTGACCATCAGAGAGCAAGAGGACAAAAAGGCAAGGCTTGCCAGAGCCATTTTTCTCTCCGCCCTTCAATTAAACTGCCCTTCGATGAATCCCATGTGTTCATTGGCCAGGTTGGCACGATAAACATAACTATCACAGTTTGCATCCAATGGTCTCTGTCTCTCCCAATTCTTCAGGAATCAAAATGAATGAGAGATAAATGAGGAATGATTTCTCTCCTCCTTCACAACAAATGATGCCAGTTCTCAAAAAGAATTGCTTAGAGCTTTCATTTTCTCAGCTTGGCGCTGGTGTGTGTGTTTCCTTCCACAAATGAAGTTAAATCAAATCACGGCTGCCTGTACCCAACACCAACCAAGCGAAGAGCTGGCAGTGGTCTGGGGCAAACTCGGGGTGTGCAAAAAAGAGAGTTCTGGCCAAAGGCCTTGCCCCAGCCTCATCAAATGGCTCATTGGCCAACAGTATTGTGAAAGAAACAACCGGAAGGGCTGGACACCTAGAAATTTCTGGGCACATCCGGGCAACGTCTGAAGGAACTCTAAAAAATGTCCAACTTGGCCAAGGAAGGATGTTCTACTATCAAATTTTCAATGAGGCATAACTTACATGAACACATTTTGAAAAACCCCATTGAGTCATTGGCTGATGAGTTAAACTGACCGCCCGAGCCTCTGGGGGAAGAACGAGGAGATGCCACAGGGAATCCATGCCGAGCCTGTGCAGCTGGGGGGAAGGGCCGAGCTCCCCATTCCCCGGCTCTGCCCACAACCCACGTGCTCCACAGAAATTGCCCCATTGCCAGTGCCAGGCAGGATACCCATGTTCCAGAAAGCAGCAAGCCTGCTTGGCTACCCATGGACCTCCGTTTCCATAGAGGGGGCACCTGGCGTGGCTGCTGAGAGGAACCCAGAGACCTCAATGTCCACTGGCCTTCATGTCACCGCGGGAGCTTCACCAACCACGTCCTTCTTCACAGCAGCGCCACACTGTGTTCGTTCAGCTTCTCTTTCATAGAGAAAGGACGACCTTTCTTTCTGGCAGACAGCCGGGTCACCGAAGTGTCCATCCACCCACAACAGTCTGCAGGACCTAGGTGGTATGAAGCAGCCCGGGTGGCGATGCAGGCTGAGGGTCGGGCTATGGACAGCAGGGTCCGTGGTCCCCGCTGCTCTGAGGGAGAAAGCTGAGGCAGTGTGCTCCGGCGATGAATGACAGTCGGGGCACTGCAGGGAGCAGTTCTGTTCTTCTCTTCGGTCCCGTGGGGACACTAGGTGTCAGAATCAACGAGCGGGCAATGGGCTGGAGTGGTCAACACAGTAGGGTTTCCATCCATCCATCATCCACAACCTTCGGTGGTGCCTACAGTGGATGAGTGGGAACACTGATGGGGCAGTGTTTGCGCCCCGGGCTGCTAACTGCCAGGTCGGCAGTTCGAAACCACCAGCTTCTCCATGGGAGGAAGACAGGGTTTTCTACTCCTATAACGAGCTACGGTCTCAGAAGCTCACAGGGGGCAGTTGGACCCTGTCCTGTAGTCACTGTGAGTCAGCATCGACTCCAGGGCAGTGACAGTGGATGGCTCTTAATGGCAGCAGCGGGCCGCCTCTTTGTCCGCATCTTTAGGGTATGAGTCGCAACCAAATTGATGGCCCACGAGAACCTCTGCGTGCCTAGAGAGGAATCAAACCAGGACCTGCCTGTAGGAGCTCCCCCCTGTGCTAGGGTGACCCAAAGTGACCATTTACAGAGCAGTGGACAGGGCCCTGGGAGAGACAAGCCAGGCTGCTAATGGAGAGCAGGGCCTGAACCCCAGATCCCCCCGATTGGAGCCCTGAGCACTTGGAGGTCTTCCCCAGAGCTCTTCTTCAAACCCAGTGCCAATGTCCTCAAAACCTAAACCTCAACTCTCTAGCCGCTGCTGCTTCTCCCTGGACGGGGAGACCCACGCGGGCACCACTCGTGACCGCAGTGTGGAAGCAGCGACGGTGGACCGCCTTGTCCAGGAGCAGAGAGTGGAGGAGGTAGAGGCAGAAGGAGAGCTGAGGACAGAGAAGCCTGGGGTCTGGCCTGTGTCCCTTGTCACCCTGCCGTGGTTTCCCCTCCAAGCCCCCTTCTGTCCTGATGACAGCCAACAGGGGACGAGAGCTGGTAAGAGGAGGGCAGAAGTACCAGCCTGGTTAAATCTATTACCCGGGCACTGCCCAGGAGTTAAAGCACAGTGGCCAACATGCCTGGGTCTGGAGGTTCCCTGTCCTGGGAAACTGCTCAGTCTCGACCAGGCCTGGGGGTGGGGGTATGGATGACCCAGTACACACAAAATGGGTCCCCCTCAAACTGAAGCCAGGAGGAGATGGGAAAGTGAAGTGGGGTTGGGCTCCCCGTATCTCTTAGTGCCCTAGCTGGCTGACACGCAAGCCTCAATGCTACCTTTCCCTTGGAGCCGCTCAGGCCCGGGCTCAGAGAGCCACTGTCTGTCTGTCTGCCTGCTTTGGGGCATTTGCTGGAACATGCCCTCTCACCTTTCCCCGGGCTTTCTTTGGGAGGATGGGAGAGCCCACAGCAGCAGCTACCTGGGTGGAGTCAGCACCTTCTGAAAGCTTGGCAGACACCACCAACCAGCCAGTGGGAGGGAGATGCCCACCAAGACTTTAGCCTCAAACACCCTATTCCACCCCCACCACCCCCAAGTAGTTCTACTTTGTCTGATGGGGTGCTATCAGCTTAACCATGGCAGTGCACTTGGGCTTGGATCAACACTTCTACGCAGGCCAAATGGACCGGCTGTGAGCTGCCTGGGCTGAGCTTACATAAGGCTAACTGATTCAATATCAATGGGTTTGCTTTTTGGTATCCCAGTAAAATCCATTTTCTTTTAAAAAAATAAACAAGCAAACAAAATGATAGTTAAGGTTTACTGTGCTAACCTGGCCAATAAACACATGTGGAATTAATTGAAGGGCGGAGAGATAAATGGCTCGGTGAACCTCGCCTTTCTAGTTCTCTGGTCTCTTGTTCTCTGATGGTTGGACCAGGGGGCAGCTGCCTTAGCCAGTTCCCTGCTTCAGCTGGAAAGACTCACTTCCTGCAAGACATCCCTGAGGAGAAGCCACATGGACCTGCCTCAATGCAGCCCTGGGTGCTGGAGCAGCCGTGTGGAGACCCTGCCAGTGCTGAGATGCTTACACGCTCACTGATTCGGCTTTCCTCCTGCAGCCGGCATCATTGTGTGTATATTGAGATGGAGGAGGACTTTGTAGATTGGTGTCGGACATATGGGCTAATGTTGGACTTATGGGCTTGGGCAGCACTAGGTTGGGATGCGTTCTGAATGCACACTTACCCTTTATATAAAACTCTCTTATAAAAAATACGAGTGAGCCCTATAGGACCAGTGGTGTGAGTGGCGA